TGACTTCAGTTCACCGCTGCTTTGCAGTTCCAGCACGATATCACATCCTCCTACCAGTTCACCTTTGTAATACAGCTGTGGATAAGTTGGCCAGTTGGAGAAGGTCTTTAATCCCTGCCTCACTTCTTCATCCGATAGAATGTCAAAGGATCCAAACTCAACCCCTTCCTCCTTCAAAGCATTTACAACCTTGGAGCTGAAACCACATCTTGGTGCATCTGGTGTACCCTTCATGAAGAGCATTACAGTTGAAGAATTTACTATATTCTTTAAACGGTCTTCAAGACTGTCTTTCTGGTGAATCCCGTTCTCAGCTAGAACCTTCCTAAGCTCACCACTTTTTTGCATCTCTAATACTATGTCTGATCCACCAATAAGTTCACCCTTTATGTACAGCTGCGGATAGCTAGACCAGTTGGAATAAACTTTCAGTCCTTGACGGACTTCATCATCAGTAAGAATGTCAAAACTCTCAAACTCTACTTTCTCCTGTTTAAGAATATCCACCACCTTTCTGCTGAATCCACACCGGGGTTCATCATGTGTTCCTTTCATAAACAGCATAACCGGGCTAGAGTTTATCAGATCCGCAAGACGAGTAGTCAGAGCAGCACTCGTGCCAGATGGTTCAGAGATGCCACCCTTCTCACCAGCAGTATCTACCCCGTAATCCTTGAAAACTTCCTTAAGTTCACCACCCTCGTGCATAGTTATAATAATATCACAACCACCAAGAAGTTCACCCTTGCAGTACAGTTGAGGATATGTTGGCCAATTGGAAAATTTCTTCAACCCCTCACGGACCCCATTGTCGGTCAGAATATCAAAGCTTCCAAATTTGACATTCTCTTTCTTCAAAATATCGACAACTTTCTGACTAAAACCACACTTGGGTTCTTCAGGGTTTCCTTTCATGAAAAGCATTATCGGATGAGAAGCAGCCAGCTGTTGAAGTCGCTTTGTCAGCCGATCATCAAGACCGGAACTTGACACTTGAGGAGCGCCATTTTCTCTAGCCAATTCCTGAACTGTTTCAAGGACAGTGGGACCTGCAGCCATCCCTAGGCTAGCAGGAGCAGCAGGATCCCCAGGAGTGATTGACCCAGCAATTTTTGCAACCTTGTTAGCCAAACTAGAAGGATCGGCCCCTTCCAACGTATCAACAGCCTTACCATCCTAAAATAAGCAAGGCACTAGCATGTTATAGGTAGCGTAACAAGCAAAAAGAGAGGTTCAACTCAACGATATTGTTCAAATGTCACAAACAATCACAGTTGGAAGGCGTTTAGTAATACGACTAATGAGAAGGAACTTAACAACATTTCTTATCAAATTTACTCTACTAACGACCACCTTTCCCTAATTTTCAAGAATTTTGTCTTGGATTTGTGTGATGGCAACTCTAGGCAATTCTTCAGGAACACCCATTATATTTGTCAGGCGAAAACTAGTGAATTTAATATTTCTTGATCTTGGTAACAGATGTTCATCTTTTCACAATAAGTAGCTACAAATATTTCGATTTATTTTTGAAAAGGTAAATATCTCAAATTTTTGAAATGCCATACTGATGATTTCACCATGGCATAAGCTTCAATGCTTCGAGACTCGCACAGTTTCACCTAAAGATAATGGCAAAAAGGAAAAGACAGTGGAATCCTCCAAAGCAAGATAAGCGACCAGAAAAAAAAAAGACATCTACTCGTCAACCCAATTACACCGTGATGTTCATGGAAAGCGAGAAGGCTTTTCAAAATCAGGCTGACAGAAGACAGTAATATCTGCAAATGCACAGCACTGGCATGTTATAGAAGAACGAGGAAATGAAGAAATGAAAGAGATCGTTTGAGGCTTGTACATCCGACTGCACGCGTAGAGTTTACTGAAGACTTAACAATTTAGCGATTTTTCCAGAAGAAAGCATATGATTTTTAAATGAGAAAGATAGTGATGTTGCCCCTCCCTTCAATAAAGCTTTTACATTTTGCAAAGAGAAGTCCCATATTCCCATTGTGCTTAGCTTAGTATGCCACCAAACAGTAGCAATACTACATGTAGTCAGCAAATAGAAGAGGCAGATGGATCTCATAGGGTTATGCAAACCTTAAGGTGCATATGGTTTTCAAGAAGATTACAAGCACAAAGAACGACATGGCCTTGGCAGAATATGACGAGCTGTTCACTATATTAAGGGGCATTCTCCCGTTACAGAATTGACACAGCAATAGGTTATTTATATATCATGAATCTTTGGGTAGAAGAACACACTCATTGTCTGTAAAGAAATAATGGAGCCATGAGACACAGTTGCATATTCAAGGAATATCTAGAAGAAAAAAAAACTCCGAGCATTTGTTAAAAAAAATATCTTTAAGTGGTTAGATTGTTGATTACTTGAGAGGATCCTCTCAATTTACTTGTTATTTATTTAAGACATACATTTGCTATGTATGAGGTCTCCTATCAATAGATATACTCTGATTAGAGAATAAAATTTTGGAAATTACGCGGTAGATGGAGTGTAAAAAAAAGGTCAAAACAGAAATCCTCAATCTGGTAATTTACTCGCTCACAAAAAGCAGATAAGTTTCACCAAGTTTATTGCCTAAAAAACAAGATAACTAAGCAAACAACTAGCAGTAATATCATCATGATTCTCAAAATCATGTCCAATAGCAGAAGTTCTTTCGGATAACTGATGCATGAGCAAATGCTCCCTTGTGCTGCTGACTGTCCAAAAAAGTAATGTTTTTTAGAAGGGCTCATAAGGAGTCAGAAGCAAGCTAAATAAAATGCAGGTAGAACTCACATAAGCGGAGGGTCAGACAAATTCATTTCCCCATCTATCCAGGAGGCGAGTAAACAGATATACAAACAGTATATGGACAAGGAAAGCAAATTCCCAAGTGAGTTACCTTGAAGAACACAAAGTAAGGAACAGCAGAAACAGAGTAAAGCTCAGATATCTCAGGCTGTTCTTCAGCTTCAACCTGAAATACAAAGACAGAAGAAGAATCATAATCAGAGACAAGCTGACACTTCAGAACGAATAATGAGCATATTCCAGTAGTACCGGAACATAATCCATTAAGGAGTTGGGTTTACAATGACATCAACTACTATAGAAGAAAAATTCAGCTCCAAGTTCACTATGTTAGAATAAAACAACTATATCAGTATAAGCAGGGTTCTCCAATTTCTATTTGAAACTAATTAGGAGTACCAAATCAAGGTAAGACTGCAGCAAATCAAGAGAGCGATAACCCCCAAATTTCCCGTGTCACAGATTCTTCATATTCATGTAACATAGCTATCTAACCACAAGAACACATCTTTTTTCTCTGTGCCCATAAAGGGAGACAAATTCTTCCCAAAGAGCACATTGATAACCCCTCAGGGTGTTCCACAGTTCATTCAAAGTTCCATAAGCTATCTTGAATTATATTCAATAAAAATACCAGAAATCAACCAATAAATAATAAAAAATTCAAGCTTGATCCATACGCTTAAAAGTTTCACATCATGAGCCCCAAAAGATTACCAAACCCTAAACCCTTCATAGCATAGTTACAAAAAAACTGATCTAAACAAACCCCCCTCCAAACAACAAGAACATATCAAGCAGAAAATCTATCAATAATTATTCACTTTATTTCATAGTTCATTAAAATTCCATATAAGCCGTATCATATATGCAAAATTAATACCAGAAATCGATCAATAAATTAAAAAAGATATAAACTTTATGGGCTTCTCATTCACATAAGCACATGTATATCAAAAACAGGGAGAAGATTTGATTACTCTGAGAAAATGGGCATGTGGGAAATCAGTAGAAAGGTGAGAAAAGACTTGGTCCATGTGCTTAGAAGCTTCACACCATGTTGCCCAAAAGTGCAAAATCGCCGGTGACCCGTCGCCGACAATCTTGTCGAGCTCTCCCTTTGATCCAACTTCCTTCACTGATCCTCCTCCTCCGGCCATCCTCGCTTCTTTCAATATTCTCTAATCTCTATGAAAGTGTGAACTGAATACCGCAAACCAAAAAACAGAACTCTTTTTCCTCTTTTCTGCTTTTTATATTAGGCTTTTTTCTTCTTCTTTTTTTCTTTTAAAAAAAAAAACAAAATTAATAAGACAACCTACTTTTGAAGACATTTAAAGGCTTACCTGTTTATTTAGAAATAAAAACTTAATTTATGTGACTTTTAATTGTTAATACTTGTTAATTTTGTTGATTCTAAAATTTTGTTGACTTCAATATCCCTAATCACATTTCCGCATGTAAATTCGCCTTAAAAGTAAAATGAGATTGCATAATGAAAAAAAGAGACATTTATTAAGGCATATATGCACGGTCAATTCCATATATAGTTTATTTCTTTCCCTATATTGTTGATTGTCTTATATTTGTATCACGTTGTGAAAATATCCAATCAAAAATAAATGTGTTTAATAACAATTTCCTTTTATATTAATCAAATCCCACCGCTAAAAAAACAGAAAGGAAATTTTTTAATAAAATAACTGTTCGTAAAAGAAGTTCAAAGTTTCTTAATACAGTCAAAACTCTCTATAACAGCCTCATTTGTTCCAGATGTTTTTGGATGTTATAGTGAATTGCTATTATAGAAAACATATATTATAACAGAACATAAAATTTGATTCCGAAAAAACTTGATTTTTATAGTGAAGTATTGTTATATAAGGATGCAGTTATAATTATAGAGATGTGTGACTGTATATCAAATTAATAGTTATATAACGATATAACTTTCACTATATTAATTGATTATAAAATAAGTGCATTACCATGCTTCCATTTTTTATTGACATTACCATTCGTTCTTCCATATTTTTCTCGAAAAAACTTTTCGACTATGAAAACTCCAAGAAACTTTTTGACATTACCATTCCGTGTGCACTTTGCGTTACTATATATAATTGATAGATTTAATACAACATACATTTAATAACTACGGAATAAAGGAGTTCACCTAGTAATGAATATTACCCCTAAAACATCTCGTTCTTTTTTCTCTCTTGACCTTTAATGGAGTTACAACTTAAGGATAATTTTAAATTATAATTAAAAATCGAAGGATAAATTCAGACTTCTTTGAAAATTTGAACACATGGAGTCCCAATTTCATGTTGGAGCTCCATTAGTGGAAAGGACAAATACAAATCAATTGCTAACAATAAGGATATTAATGGACACAAAGTATAACAAATAAAAAATAAAACAAAATGAAATAACGACTAGAGTAACCATGTTAAAAGATTAACAGTGTAGTAAGCTAAATAAAAGAAGGGAGTTTGAAGGAAACTGTAGCGCATAGAATATTTTTTGGAAATTTTACAACCTATAGAATAGCTTAGTACCCTATTTATAATATATAAATACCCTTTTAAAATATTACATTCTATAAATACCCGTTTTAGTTTATAGCAAAAAATCTAAATTTAGTTCCATTCTAAAATTAAGGCTTAATATATGCTACAAAATATTTTTCTAATCTCATTTTTTTTATTTTCTCTCACCTAATTTGCTTATATCTCCTCTCATCAGCTTTTCTCTCTCTTCTTCAATACACCTTTCCCTCTTCTCCCACAAACACACATTCCATACACTTCCAAAAACCTCCTCCGCCATTATCGCCCCAAAGGCTATTCTTCTTCGCAAGCTTCACAATTGTATTTTGGAAATTTTCTTCCCGTAGGTAATTCTCTTCGCATTTGCTTTTTCATTAGTTTGTTTCTATAAGATTTTTTAGCGAATTTACACAATTTTCTGATATATCTTCCATTTGTATTGCACAATATAGAAGCAAGTTGATTCCAAAAACTGGTTTTACCTTCTATCCATTTACGGGAAGTTATGGGATGACAATGTGAGTCTTTCCCAAAAATGATAATCTTATCTTTAAATAATAACATGCTGTTTTATTAACTTGTATTTAGTTGTATTATTCAGCTGTATTTTTCTTTTATTTCCTATGTATTCAGCTATAGTCAATTGAATTGAACTGTATTATGTAGTCCATAAGCTGAATACAGTTGTATTCACTTGTATTACAGTTAAATTAACTTTATTGATACTGTGGTATTCAACTGTATTGAACAATTGAATTACCTGTATTCATCCAATGGCAGTTAAATTCACCTACATTAAGTAATTGAATTAGTTGTATTCATTCAATGTCAGTTGAATTCAACTGTAGTCCATAAGCTGAATACAGTTGTATTCACCTGTATTACAGTGTATTCCTCTATTTTCTGTATTCAGTTGTATTCAACTTTTTTTTAGCATCTGTATTGAGGTATTCTTATATATTATTTCTTAGTTCAAGCAAATAAACTCACACTATCTACCAACCTCTTTTGTTTATAGCATATGGATGTCATATTCTACTATTTGCGAAAGATGGGCAAGTACAATCAGCATAGGGACTTCACGTTTACTACTGTTGATTGTATATTCAAGACAAGAATAGATGAAATATATGACAGGTATGAAGATACAGATAGTAATGCTAATGTAGCAAAACCAGAAGACGTTGTATGTGAGTATATTAGGGGCTACAAATTACATGCTAATGTACCCTGGCATACAGTGGATAATGTCTTGATACCAGTGAACTTGAAGGAAAAACTTCATTGGTTGTTGGTTGTTGTGACTTTCAAAGATAGATGTATCAAAGTGTACGACTCGTACACATCTTCCGATCATGATGCATACGTAGTCTCTGAGATTGTAAAGCTAGCTAAGCTATTACCTCTG